TCAACAGTTCACAGCTTTGTTGTTATAATTTAGATTTTACCTGTCACCGCTCCTGAGGTAAAATCATAGATACTGATGAATTAATTGGTAAGAAGGTTCTCAGAACCTCTTGTGCTGACAAGTTCAAACAATCTACAGCAGTATTTCCTAAGGTAACATCCTATTATCTCACAGGTAATTCATTGTCCCGATGCCGTTGTCTCCCCAGGCCAAGAACGCCCTGGCCCACGCCTTGCAGTCTGCTCGCCACGACTGTGACTTGCTGCGGGAGCAATATGAGGAGGAGCAGGAAGCCAAGGGGGAGCTGCAGCGCGCCCTGTCCAAGGCCAACAGCGAAGTGGCCCAGTGGAGAACCAAATACGAGACGGACGCCATTCAGCGCACGGAGGAGCTGGAGGAGGCCAAGTATGTGATAGATAAAACGAACTGTCCAGGTGTTATGTGCATTGTGCAGAACCTAGATCTACTTTTAGTAGCATGATCTTAATTAGTTTATTACGTTTTTCTTATACAATTAATTTAAAAATGTACTTCTGATATTGTACTCATTAAGTTATGTATACAGTACATAATACTTGCTGTATTGATACTCCGTTAGGAAAAAAGTCTCTCAGTGTCTCCAGGAAGCAGGACAGCAGGCAGAGATCGTGAATTCAAAGTGTGCCTCCTTGGAGAAGGTGAAGTTGAAGTTGCAGGGGGAGGTGGAGGATCTGACAGTGGATATAGAGAGAGCAAACGCATTGGCAGCTGCCCTTGACAAGAAACGGCAGAACTTTGATAAGGTGATAAGTGAGCACAGTATCTTTTAAGTCTGGCCTTCCTAGAAGGCCAAACTAATACTCCTTACTTAAACCATTACTGAAATAAAGTTCAGTCTAACAGTTACAAGCTCCTCTAGAATGTGGCAATAGGAATTTGTCCTCTTTTCAGAGACGGTAGTATTTATCTGGTACAGAAAATAGCCACAACAAAACCAACATATTTGGTACCAGCAGGAAATGAGACATCCTGTCTTTTAGGTTGTGGCAGAGTGGAAGAAAAAGTATGAGGAGAGCCAGCTGGAGAGAGAAGCTCTCTCTAAGGAATCACGCTTGCTGAACACAGAGGTTTTTAAAGTGAAAAATGCCTACGAGAAAACCTTAGATCAGTTTCAAACAATCAAACGGGAGAACAAAGGTCTCAAGCGTAAGTGTTTGGCTCTTCTTTCCCACTAGCTGTTCACAGCCCTAGCACGACCAGGCACGCTCTACCAGCATGCTCGTATCTACAAGAGCGACACTAAGTCACAGGACTCTCCATTACTATTGTCTCCATTTTAATGGAGAATGTAAACATCTCACCAAACGTTGTCGAGTAGGTTTGTAAAATAACTAAGCTAATAAAGCATATGACCTGGCTCGTCATTATCTGCTGCAGAGACATAATATCAAGAGCATTTACGTGCCACCAGCAGGTAATGTTGAAGCCCTCAAGAGACTGTGAAGCTTATGAAAGTGAATCTTACAGATGCACTGGGAACATATAATGACAAGAACTGTCGTATTTAAACAAACATATTGATATGATGCTTAGGGACATGGTTTAGTGGTGATTTGGTAGTGCTGGATTCATGGTTGGACTTGATGATCCTAAAGTTCTCTTCCAACCAAAGGGATTCTGCGTCCTGTAGCATTACCCTGATGGCCTGTCAGGACACGTAAACACGTGCTGTCTGTCAGACTCTCAGTAAAGAGGGCTATGAAACCACCGACGCCTCTGTTTATGTCATCCTGCATGAGTTGCTTCTATGGGTTTTTATCTGTACACACCTATACATACACATATGCAACTGTGTACGCTTGCACATGTGTATACATATGTGTATATTCAGGTGTGTAAAGAGGTGCTAAATACAGTCCCAAAGTGTAGGATTCAGCTTCCCTGGCCACCACAGGCTGATGTCATTCTTTTCTCACAGAGGAAATAGCTGATCTGACTGAACAAATTACTGAAAATGGCAAAATGATCAGAGAATTGGAGAAAGCCAAAAAGCAAGCTGAAGCAGAAAAATCTCAACTGCGGTTAGCTCTGGAAGAGGCAGAGGTAAGTTGGTTTGTATACTAGTGGAAAAAGTAGAGAGCAGGCTGAATAACTTTCTAGTCTGTCTCCTGGACAGTGGAATTAGGAATTTCCGTGAAGTCACTAAGCGGCATTACAGTGATTATATTTGAGGCAATGTTACTTTTGTGGGTTTTTTTTTCCCCTCTTTTTCTTTTAAAGGCAACTCTTGAGCATGAAGAGGTCAAAATCCTTGGTGTCAACCAAGAACTGACTCAGGTTAAGTCAGAAATTAGCAGAAGGATTGCTGAGAAAGATGAAGAGATCAGCCAGCTAAAAAAGAACCATGAGAGGACTGTGGAGACAATGCAGGGTGTTTTGGATGCTGAGATCAGGAGCAGGAACGAAGCCCTGCGGCTGAAGAAGAAGATGGAGGGAGACCTGAATGAAATGGAGATCCAGCTGAGCCATGCCAACCGCCAGGCTGCTGAGGCCCAGAAACACCTGCACAGCATCCAGGGAGTTCTCAAGGTCTTGATTTACCTTTCTGGGTTATTTATTTTTAAGCACAGTGTCTGAGAAATTCATTAGGAAAAAAATGGCTCTTCGTGTTTAGGACACGCAGCTGCACTTGGATGATGCTCTCAGGACTCAGGAGGACCTGAAGGAGCAGGTGGCCATGGTGGAGCGCAGAGCAAACCTGCTGCAGGCTGAAGTGGAGGAGCTTCGGGCAGCCCTGGAGCAGACGGAGCGCTCGAGGAAAGTGGCCGAGCAGGAGCTGCTGGATGCCTCTGAACGTGTGCAGCTGCTCCATACCCAGGTAGTCTGCTTTGCTAAGAGACATATTTTTGGGTCCAGAGATTCACAGAGTAAGCATGAATAGGAATTCATGGTCCCTATGTGTAAGAGACCAAAGACAGACGCTCAAAACCTCTTTTTTTTTTTTCTCTCCCTTGTAGAATGCCAGCCTTTGTCATACAAAGAAGAAGCTTGAAACCGATAGGGCACAAATCCAAACTGAGATGGAAGATATTACTAATGAAGCAAAAAATGCTGAAGAAAGAGCAAAGAAGGCAATCACAGATGTGAGGATATTACTGTGGTTTTCTCTTCAAATTCTCAGGGCTTCCTAATGGCATTGCTGCTGGCAGTTCATGAAAGTGCTCTTGTCAGAAGTTGCACAAAGAAGCAGTGTGTGGGCCTGGTTGCAGAGGTTACATTGTCAGAGGACAATTAGAGCAGCAGGGAACTTGTCCTGCTGCCAGATGCGTTATTTGGGCTGTTGTCATCATAATGAACTAAACCAGCATTTAGTCAGTCTAAACCAATTAACTTTTTCAAGTGCTACATGGCAATGTAAACCACAAAAAAATCCAGCAGTAATGAAACCAGTAAAGTGTCTAACGTATTTAAATATTTATCTTTTCAAAATACTGTTTAAGATCTTTTCAGTTGAGAATTGTGAATTTCCACTTGAAATTGGTGCTATAACCTCCTGTGCAAGGGCAGTGACCTTGGCCAGGCAATAGGGCTGGTGTGTCCTGGGACCCAACCTGCTAATGATATGTGATGCATAGGATCAAAACCAAAATCTTGATGCTTTAAAACATTATTTAGAGTTAAAGTAGAAGGATTGCTCATGACAATGAGCTTGGTCATGAAAATGAAAAAAATTAGATAACTTATAATCTGTTTCAATAAAACAGAAATAGAACATTATAATGAATTATATGCATACACATGTATATTTATATACCTCCAAATTTATAGTGCCATTATTTTATTAACACATTTTTCAATTTAGACTTTTTCAAGTATTTTGCTGCCAAAGCAGTTTGTTCACCTTTGCATAATTTGTAAGTAATGCCACTCAGTATTTCATGGAAATGCTTAATTTGATCATGTAGGAATCAAACGCATGAGAGAAAAACACATTCTAGCTTTGTCTTAAATAACATAGCTTGTTTTTAACTGTAACACTAGCAATCCAGGCTATTGTGGCAACAACTGGGCATGCAGAAGGCCCAGCACGCAGGCCCCGTCACACTCACGTGTGTTAGGTGCCATCTCCTGCCCCCAAGCTTGGCTGTGGCTCCTCTGCCCGATGGCACCAGCATGTCGGGGAAGGTCACAGTAACGACTGGGCGGTGGGACAGAGCATTCACCCTTTCTCTTGTTCCAAGCTCTGCATGTGCAGCAAGGCAGGTTTCTTCCTATTTTTTTTTCCTCTGCTATTTCCTATTAGGGGGCTGCTTAGCTCAGTCAGCTGAGCGTGGCGCTGACAACGCCAAGGTCGCGGGTTCAATTCCTGTTCGGTCTCCATATGTTGCCTGATCTAGTCGAGAGGTGGCATGCCTGGCGGCAGGGAGGCTGGATTAAAATGATCTCTAAGGTCCCTTCCAGCCTAGGCCATTTTATGATTCTATCTTTTTTCTGCCACTGTCCCACCACAGAACTAAAATGAAGCAGAAAATGTGGTGACAAGAGTGGTTAGCAGGAGCTGGGGCTGAATCCTCAGATGGTACACAGCGTGCACTCTTCTTTCATGTTCTTCCAGTTTCTTGTGTCCTTTTTCTCTCAAGGCAGCCATGATGGCAGAAGAGCTGAAGAAGGAGCAGGACACCAGCGCCCACCTGGAGAGGATAAAGAAGAATCTGGACCAGACAGTGAAGAACCTGCAGCATCGTTTGGATGAAGCTGAGCAGTTGGCTCTGAAGGGAGGCAAGAAACAGCTCTTGAAGCTGGAGGCCAGGGTGGGTACCAGTGCTGAACATGAGTGTCAAAGGTACTTTCTTCTCTGAGTCCTGTGTGAGGGCTCAAACCAATTATTGATTGATTCACCAGATAAGAGAGTTAGAAACTGAGCTGGAAGAAGAACATAAACAATCTGCGGAGGCTATGAAAAACATCCGCAAATATGAGCGGCATATCAAAGAGCTTACTTTCCAGGTGGGTGTAAAAAACCCACGATTTTCCTGATGTGGTGTTTCCCAAGGATATGTAATTGCACATTCCCTTTCTGCAGAATGAAGAATACAGGAAGAATATGGTGAGGTTACAAGATCTGGTAGATACATTGCAGATGAAAATAAAATCCTACAAAAGACAAGCTGAGGAAGCTGTGAGTCATTAAACTGAAGCAAATAATTCTTTACCATTTTCCAGGACAGTCAGCGTAAAAGTTGGCTCTGTACGCCAGCATGTTGCTGGATGGTTTTAAGTTCCTTCTCTTTTGCTATTTCAGGATGAGCAAGCCAATACTAATCTCTCCAAATTCAGAAAAGTGCAGCGTAAGCTAGAAGAGGCGGAGGAAAGGGCAGATATTGCTGAGAGTCAAGTGAACAAGCTCAGAGCTAAATCCCGAGAAATCCCTTCTCCAAAGGTAAGCCTTTATTGCAGGAGGCAGCTCTGCAGCTTGTACTGCCCACTCAGGCAAGTCGAGCAGTAGATTTGTGCCTTGGTGGTGGGTACAGCCGTCATTCTGAAGGAACAGTTCTGAAAGGAGGGGACTTTGAAGAATTGCTGAGAGGGTTAGGGTTGTTCAGCCCAGAGAAGAGAAGGCTCTGGGGAGATCTTATTGCAGCCTTTCAACCTCTAAAGGGGCTTATAAGAAAATGGCTTTTTAGCAGGGGCTGTAGCGACAGGCCAAGGGGCAACAGTTTTGAACTGAAAGAGGGTAAGCTTAGGCTGCACACGGGGAAGAAATGTTTTATGATGAGAATGGGGAGACACTGAAACAGGTTGCCCAGAGAAGTTGTGGATACCCCATCACTGGATTTGTTCAAGACCAGGTTGGATGGGCCTTTGGGTCACCTGATCTAGTGAAAGGTGTCCTTGCCCATGGCAGGGGTTTTGGACTAAATGATCTTTGAAGGTCTATTCTGTTCTATTATTCTACAACGCTGGCATTTCAGGTTCTGCTGCCAAGCATGAGCCTTCTGGTGAGTTTCATCACATTTTCAGATTTAAGAAACTGTCCATAAAGTGAAAGTAATGAGAGACAACCTAATGCTGAACATTCCTAAAACAACTTTCCTGTAAGGCTTAGGCAGAATTAATGTTCCGATTGAGAAGTATGCAACACTCTTTTGTCCGTAGGTGAACTTCCCAGGCAGTTGTCTGTCTCCAGCCCAAGACTGCTTAGTGTGATCTGAGCAGGTGTAACACCTTTCGACTGTACTAGACTGGCTCATTTTGTGGTTGGAAGTAAAATATCTTCAGCCCAAAATTACTAGTGCCTACAGCACATATCCAGGAAATGGAGCACCTTGGCTTCAGACTGCCTTCTGCTTACCCACAGCATCCTCTTACTCATACAGCTTTTTAACACCAGAAGAGATGCTGTGGAGAACATGCTTTCTCCTGAAGGCTCTGGCCTGAGACTCAATAAATTGAGCCTCTGCCAGAGGCTGGTGTACAACTGTAGTGAGTCACTTCGTGCCATGCCCCAGTAGAAGACTTTGACTCTTCAGTGCTTGTCAAGGAATCTTGCCTTGGGAAGCACTTGGAAGGCTGAGGCCAGATTCTTGAGCGAAGTCTCTAGACACGAGATTGTCTTAAAGAGGGAATGGTGAATGTCTAATTGAATTGAAACTGCAGACAGGGGCAGGATTTCAGATATCATGGGTATCCCCAGGTAAAGGGAAGCTGAACATACTGACCATGGGCAACTGTCTCTGCAATACGCTGAATTTTTAGATCTTGCTTTGAGGTGCCTTATACTGTGCAGTATGTATGGAGCCTGGGCACCTGGCACAAATTCTGAATTCTGCTCTGTGGGGCCTAAAAATTAAACACTGTAATGACTAGATCTTTTAATAGATATACTGGATCACTATATCCTTTTACTCCCTTCTGTGCTTCACATTCAGTTTTGGAAATGCTAGGTTACTCCCTGTCCCAGGGGATGGGGGTGCGGGTAGTTTAAGCACTGCAACAGTTAAGTACCACTTCAGGAAAGCCGCCAGATAAGTTTCTCCATTTCAACCCATCAGTCCAACACCTTGACATTTGATGACGTGTGGTCTTAAGGGTTACAGACACCACTACACTGACCTGGGCTCCACTTGCACGTCTGGGCTGGACGGTGCAATGAGACAGATGATTTTAGGGACCAAAAGACTCATCTTGACATGTGTTTGCTAAACAAAGCCTCTTCTTTCCAGGTGCTCTTAGGAAGTGAAAAATGAGCTTCCTCTGGGATAATCAGAGCTTACACAAGGTATCTTTCCAGCTGTGGATTTGCAGTAGCTAGAGCTACACTGGTAGGAAGTAATATTCCACTTGCCTGTGGACACAAACATTTTCTGTCATTCTGCTGCTCTACTAGTGTCAATAAAGTAGATATCTGCAACTTCAGGTGCTCCAAAAATTGATGTTGAGATGAGAGTAATTTCCTAAGTTAAGCATAGTCAAAACTGTGGGTTCATTTCTTTTATGATCATGTTTGAGCAATTTTGTCCTGACCTTAAAAACTAGGTGTTTGACAGGCTTCGTCTGTACGTTCTGCTTGAAAACACAGATCCTGACCTTATTGAACAAAGCTGAGAATAAACTACTGTGTGAGCAGATGGGGTGTGTCAAACATGCCCTGTGAACAAAATACAACATTCATGCTTAGTTTTGCTGCTGTATCCCTGCATAGGAAAACAAGACAGGTCCAGCCTGTGAGACCACAAACATCTGTGTGTGTTACAAACCAAGTATTTCTAATCTCCTTGTAGTCAAACGGCACTTCAGAAAGTTGTCACACTTAATTGGAGCTTGCAACTCCAAGTGGATGAGAACTTGAACTTCGGTGTCTCACCTATTACTTTGGAAGTAGTTATCAAATGGTCTGCTATACCAGCAGCAAAGTCTGAGTAGCTCCTTGAAGCTTATCTCCCCAGCAGCACTGGGCACTGTAATTCTGCTTGGTGTTTACCAAAGAGAAATCCATGATCAGCTACTTTGTGTTGTATGTGTGGTATATTCAAAACTACAGGATCACAGGTACTGACAAAACTCAGAAACCCAAGATGTTACATCATTCCTGTCTGAGAAAGTGATGGGCATCACTTCTTTCACAGTTTTAAACTACAAAGAGTTTAATAAAACCAGCAGATACCAATCTCTCCCATAATGCCTTTGAAGGTTTCACTATGACTCCCTATTTGGCCCGTAGTTTTTTCCATTCCTTCTCATCCAGTGCACTTATGCTCCTTGATAAAGAGTCAGGATGGTCCTACCATCATGGTCAATGTCTCTTCCTAGTCCTTGCCTGTCTCTCATATATAAAATGCCATTTAAAATAGAAGGGTATTTTTGGAACAGTGAACACTTTCAGCATTTTCAGCTTCTGAGTGGATTTAATCTACAAGTCTAGTTTGGAAATGAGGTCTCATTTTGCTGGTCCAAACTAAGAATCCACCCTCATACACAGCTGTTTCTCTGAACCTACTGGAATGATCATGTTTGGAGCTTTAGTTCCTGTTCTCAAACCTTCACAACTGTTCATCATGAATGAGTCAAATGCTAAGGTGCTGTAAAGCCTTTGGCACTTTCTTGCTTGTGTCCTCAAATCAGAGAGTTTGCAGACCAGCTTTGCTGTCATCAGTCAAGTCATTTAGTCTGTGCCAAGACCTGCGAAGCAGATCATCTGCAAACACCCGTACAGGGACTCTGTTTTGCTCAGATAATTAACTATTGCCCTCAGATTCCTCACCCAAAGTAAACAGAACTATTGCCAGCTTGAGCACGGGTTGGGTTACTGGTTTCTCTTCCCACCTTGTTCTCCAGAGGTCTGTGAGCTGCTGCCCTAGTTACAAATGGGTTTTCACATTTCTGTAGGAGAGAACTTTGGCAAATCTTCTTAGTCAGTCGATCCCTTAGCCTGTGATTTGGGGGGAAATAAGAATTGAATGCTAGTTTTTTGCACCAGATGGGACAGATCTGGATGTGCCTTTCAGTCTCCCAAGGGATAACTTCTGTTTCAGCTCCTGCTCTCTGGAAGCAGAGTATCCAGGCATCAGCTGGAACATGTCACCTAAGCCTCCTAGCCTTCTTTCCTGCTATTGGTACTGTTTGCTGATTGCTCTTGCCCCAGCTACACAGTCCTTGGTCTTCTGAGCCTCTTTCCCGCCTGCTCAAGCACAGTGGGCAGGGCACAGCAGCCCCTGGGGAATGGGGCTCTGCAGGAATCTGCCTTGAGCAGGATAATCACTACTGTCACCCCGCCAACTCCTTTCTGCCGGCGGTGGAGCTCTCCCCTTTTCAAAAAAGGGAATTCGCTTTCCTTTGGTTTAATGCTCTGGCTGTCCCTCAGGACAAGGTTGGCTGAATGCAAGTGCGGAGCCTGGCTTTCCCACCTGGCAGCCCCAAGTCTCCAGGTTGACTGTATCTGAAGACCATGGTGCCTGCATAAAACGTCACGTATGTAGATTGGTCTGGCTAGTTTGGAGCTGGGATCCTGAGAGCATGACTGGAGAAGTGGGCTCAGGACCTGTTGACAAAAGTGCCTCTCTGTGGAAAACCTGTAGTCTGCTTTGTGTACTGCCACTTTCATGTAATAAGAATAAAAGAAATTGGAGGAAATGCATGGCCGTGGTCAGAAAGCTTCACAGCTCAAGTTACTGAAAGAAGTTGAGCCCATGCTGAGCCGTGATGGTTCAGGGCAGCAAGAACGGGAGCGCTCCGCTGCTGGAGAGCCTCAGAGGAGCACACAGCCCCATACAACATCCCCATCGCACAGCCTGCCACGGCAGGTAGAAGGTTTCAAGACCCTGGTTGAGTGTCCACCTGGCAACACTGCTCTGTAGGAAACTGAGCCTCGTCAAATGGCAACAAGGTGAGGGGCTAAAGCCTTCCTCATTATCGCCAGCCTGATCTTTAGGTGAGCAGCCGAGGAGGGGCTGTTGACACTGCCCACACCCAGTTGTCCTGTCTTGTGACAGACACAGGGAGATACTCAACTAGTGCAGAAGTGCCTGGCAAAGCCAGACTGCTGGTGTTTGTAGGAGGAGTCAGTTCAACTTATTAGGCTGCTGAAAAAAATAACTTGGCTTGGGAATTAATAGTTGTTTCTCTGTTCTGCCAGCTGAACCGAGTCTTCATCTGCAGAAGTGCTGGGCATGCCTGGGAACAGCTCAGAATGCTGGGACTGTGCCAAGGGGCCTTCTTCCAAGAGCTAGCATCGGCTCCATCCCCTCAGGGTGTGGGATTGCATCTAGTGGCAGCACTGCATAAGCTGCCTAATGCACAATCCCTTGACCACTTGCTCCTGCCTGCTAACAGTGCTGCTGTGCTTCAGTCTGACTGAGTCTTGAGGGAGACTGATTTGAGAGGGAGAGTTGATCCAGGTGTAAAACTTTTCTGAGAGAGTGTTGTTTGTTTTTTTTTTTTCTCAGAGAGCTTAATACATAGATCTGATTTTCACAAGGCAATGAAAATGAAAG